CGCCGGTCGGGGCTGAGCCGGAAGTCCGGGTGGAAGGCGAGGCGAGGGGGCCGCTCTGCGCGTTATCCCTCTATGGGGGCCGGCCGGTACGAGAAGGCGAGTGCGCGTGCGCGGAGGGCTCCGGGGCGCCCCCTGGCGAGGGAAACGCGATTTTTCTCCCTCTTGCTTGAAAGGTTTAATTTCTGTGAAAAGCTTTAGAAGCTGCAACTTTCTCCCTTCCTGATGGAATTTATTTTATTTTATTTCATTATTTCATTTTATTTCATTTCATTATTTTATTTTATTTCATTTTATTTCATTTCATTATTTCATTTCATTTCATTTATTTTATTTCATTTTATTTCATTTCATTATTTCATTTCTTTTATTTCATTTCATTTTATTTCATTTCATTTCATTTATTATTTTATTTTTTATTTTATATTTCATTTCATCATTTCATTTTATTTCATTTCATTTCATTTATTTTATTTCATTATTTCATTTTATTTCATTTCATTATTTTATTTTATTTCATTTTATTTCATTTCATTATTTCATTTCATTTCATTTATTTTATTTCATTTTATTTCATTTCATTATTTCATTTCTTTTATTTCATTTCATTTTATTTCATTTCATTTCATTTTTTATTTTATTTTTTATTTTATATTTCATTTCATCATTTCATTTTATTTCATTTCATTTCATTTATTTTATTTCATTATTTCATTTTATTTCATTTCATTATTTTATTTTATTTCATTTTATTTCATTTTATTTCATTTCATTATTTCATTTTATTTCATTATTTCATTTCATTTATTTTATTTCATTTCATTTCATTTTTTATTTTATTTTTTATTTTATATTTCATTTCCTCATTTCATTTTATTTTATTTCATTTCATTTATTTTATTTCATTATTTCATTTTATTTTATTTCATTTTTTATTTTATTTTTTTATTTTATACTTCATTTTATTTTTTTTATTTTTTTATTTCATTTTGTTTCATTTATTTCATTTTCCTTTCATTTTTACTTCATTTTATTTCATTATTTCATTTCTTCATTTATTTTATTTCATTTTTTATTTCATTTTTTATTTCATTTTTTATTTCATTTTTTATTTCATTCCATTTTTCATTTTTTATTTCATTTCATTTCATTTATTTCATTTCATTTCATTATTTTATTTTATTTTTTATTTCATTTTATTTTATTTCATTATTTCATTTCATTTCATTTTTTATTTTATTTTTTATTTCATTTCATTTCATTTTATAATAGATGCAGTCCTTGACTTACAACCTTTCATTTAGTGACTGAACAAACAGCACTGAACAAAGTGACTTACGATGACCGTTTTTCACTCTTATGGCCACCGTAGTACTAGTACCCCTCTGGTCACATGATCTGAATCCATGCACTGGGCAACTGGCATGTACTTATGACAGTTGCAGTGTCCCGGTGTGTGTGTGTGTGTGTGTGTGTGCGTCACGTGATCCCTTTTTACAACCTTCCGACAAGCAAAGTCAACGGGGAAGCCAGACCTACTTAATGACTGTGGCAAGAAACGTCATAAAATGGAGCAGAACTCAACTGTCTCACTTATGAATGGAAATCTGGGCCTCAACTGTGGTTGGAAGACGTCCTCCTCCCTCTTCATGTTGGGTGCCAAACGCTTTCCAAGGGTTGGAATTCCCCTCTTTCCTCTTCACAGCAACCCTGCGAGGTGGGATGGACAAAGAAATGGCCCCAGGGAGTGCAGTGCCCACACAGATACCTAAGCCGGAATGATGGGTGCTGTAGTCCCAACCCTCCCGGCATGGGTCCCTGAGTCGAGGGCTCTGGGCTTCCGAACGGGGTCCCCACTCGCATTTCCATTCTCTTCTGGGTTTTTTGTAGATCCGTGTTTTCCAAGGTGGCCACTTGTGGACTTCAACTCCCAGAATCCCCCAGCCAGCAGGAACTCTGCTTTCTCCACCCTTTGTCCTCGTGTTTCCGTCCTTCGGTGACGGCCGCAGAGACCAGCACAGCCCTGGGAAAGGGCTTCGGGATTTTGCCCTGCCAAACCGAAACGGCTCGCCCCTGAGAAACTGACCGGAGCCCCGTCTGCCACACTTGCAAATGGATGGACCCACAAGGCCCAAATAACCGGACAACACAGCTGGAAGGGACCTTGGAGGTCTTCTAGTCCAACCCCCTGCACAAGCAGGAGACCCTATGGACCAGGGAGGGCTAACGCCGAAAGCACACACTCATACCCATAAGGCAATGCACGTGTGGCACCCCCCTCTGTGCCCCCAGCCCCCGCGCATGCGTGCGTGACATCCCCCCCCATGCTCCCCCTTCTCTCCACACATGCATTTGCCACCCCCTCCCTGAAGCCTCCCGGGACCCAAAAAGGGGGCACAGGGGGGGTGCCATCCCCCCATGCTCCCCCAGGCACGTGCATCTCTCTCGTCCATGGCAGAGACCCCAAAATCATCTGGCTGGCGGGAGGTGCCTGAGTGGCATGCAGAGGGGAGCTGAGGAGGGCTTGGAAAGGGCCCCCCTGGGTGCCATGGCTTTGCCCTCGGGGCTCTCTGCCACTCGAGAGAAACAGCTGTCCAGTCTCTTCTGGAGCACCCACAACCTCTGGGGGCAACCCCTGGAGGTGCCCCCGTTCTCCCTCCGGGCCTTTTGAGGATGGTCTTCTGGCTCCTGCGTCTCGGAGGCGCCTCTTCTTCTCCGTTGGATCCTCCAGAGCGGAACTGGGGGGGGGGGGGAAGAAGGAACTTGCCCGGTTTCTCTTCCCCGGGACTCACACAACAAAACAAGGACCCACAACACAACAGGGGGTGGGCTCCTGTGGATTTTTGTCCCTCTGGGGAGGCCACGAGGATTGGGGAGGCCTTGAGAGGATGGTCCAGCTGGGGCCCTTCCCCAATCCTGCCTGGGGATGCAAAGCAGAGGAGGAGGGGGGGGAGGAGGAGGAGGAGGAGGAGGAGGAAGAGGAGGAGGAGGAAGGCAATGACTGTGGAGTCCTTGGGGTTCTCTGAGCTTGGCTGTTTTCTTGCAGACATTTCATGACCAAACTAGGTAACATTATCAGTGTTAGAAAAGAGGGGAAATAGGGGAGGAGGAGGAGGAGGAGGAGGAGGAGGGGGAGAAAAAGGAGGGGGAAGAGGAAAAGGAGAAGGAGAATAAGGAGGAAAAGGAAGAGGAGATGGAGAAGGAAGAGAAAAAGGAGGGGGAAGAGGAAGGAGGAGGAGAATAAGGAAAAGGAGGAAAAGGAGGAAGAGAAAAAGGAGAAAAGAAAGAGGAGAAGGAAGAGGAAAAGGAGGAAGAGATGGAGGAGGAAAAGAAAAAGGAGAAGAGAAAAGGAGGAAGAGAAAAAGAAGAGAAAAAGAGGAGGAAGAGGAAGAAAATCTGGGGGGGGGAGAGGAGGAGGACAGTGGGGTCCTTGGTGCTCTCTGAGCTGTGTGGTTTCCTTGTCGACGTTTCATGACCCAACTAGGGAATAACATCAGTGGGGGGGGGGAGGAGGAGGAGGACTACTGGCCCGGCTCCTTACAACACCCATTTCGAACAGGGATCCTGATTGTCCTTCCTCCCTCCCTCCCTTCCACCGAGATCCTCATTCTGCAGCCGTGTTTCTCAACCTTGGCCATTTTTAAGACGGGTGGACTTCAACTCCCAGAATTCCCCAGCCGGCTGGGCTCTACCAGAATCCAGCATTTGTCAGACAAGAACAAATGTGGTGATCGATTTTATACTTTATTCTTTTTTTGGAGAGGGTAACTTTCTTAATAGACGGTGGGAATGCCGTCCATGTAATATAACTTGACTTCAGCAAAGTGATGGGGGAAAAAAACATAGCTGGCTGGGGAATTCTGGGAGTTGAAGTCCACCATCCTTAAGTTGAAATTCACAGGATGCTCATTCTGGGTTCTCCGTCCTTGTGTTATATTTGGGGATCTCTGCTGGGGGCTTCTCTTACAAGTAGGTTGGGTGGGCAAAGGAGGGCGGGGGAAACTCTTTACGGACCGCAATCAAGCCTGAGCACCGAGAAAGACACTGCTGGATGAACTCAAGATGCCCCACGACGGCGCTATTGGCCCGCAGGTGCCAAGCAAGTCCCCAAATTAAATCCACCCGCACCTCAAGGAGAAGCAGGCGAGTGGGGTTGCGCTGGCCCCCCTGGTGAGCAGAGTTTGGCACTGGGGTGCAAGAAGGGGGGGGGCTGAACCGCTTCTAAAATCCCCCCCAACGAAAGAAAGCTCATTTGTTCTTTTTTCTTAAAAAACCTTCACATTTATTTCTTTATTTTGTCAGGACTTCCCAAATGAAACACAACCAGGAGCCTTTTTTTTTTAAAGAACTCGGACCCCCCCTCCCCCTCCCATTCAGGAATCCGGGGGTGCCATCCGGGCACCCGGTGAAATGGACGACGGAAGGTCGGAGCACGAACGGACGAGGCGGCCTCCCCTGCGTTTCCCTCCCCCCATAATTTCAGAGGAGAGGGCTCTTGGGCACAAGAGGGGGCTTGGTGGGAGCGTAGGGGAGGTGGGGAGGGAGGGAGGACACAGCCAGGACTGCAGTGGGGAGTGGATTTTGCTACCCAGGCCGAGAAGGGCTGCAGGCGCCCCCGAAGAAGGTGGGGAGGGGGGTCAGAGGTGGGGGGGGCAGCGATTCAGGGGCATTTCCTCTCTACACACTGTTTCCCCCCCTCTTCGTACTCCTGCTTTGAGATCCACATCTGTTGGAAGGTGCCCTGGAGAAGGAAATAGACGGTGAGAGGCCCCCTCCCCAGCCCCCTCCTTCCCACCCACCCCACAGACAACTGCAGACCCCACCCCTTGCGATCAACCCCTCCCTCTATTCCCCCCCACACTCACTAGAGAGGCCAGGATGGAGCCGCCGATCCACGGGCTGAACCTGCGTTCCATGGTGCTGTTGCTCGCAATCAGCTTCAACCTCATGCTCTGCAGTGGGGGGCAGAAAAGGGGCCACAAGTTGGGGAGGGGGCATTGAATCCAAGGGGGATTCATTCTCATTTCCATGTCCTGACTCCCCAGGGAAAGCAAAGTAATAGCCAAAAGCCAACATGGGTTTGTCAAAAACAGATCATGCCAGACTAATCTTACTGCATCCTTTGACAAAGGGACAAAATTAGTGGACCAGAGGAATGCCGTCAATATAGTTTACTTGGACTTCAGGAAGGCATTTGAAGAGGTAGACCATAACCTACTACTAGATAAAATAGAAGAAGTGGGTTAGATAGCATCACCACCAGATT